GTGGGGTGAGACCTTCCTCCAAGGAGCTGCTTGGATCTCTTCTTCCAAGACAGATCCAAAGGCAGCAGAAGGCTCCTGGGGTACTGAGGGCTCTCCCCTGAATGGAATAGCAGCTGGGCAGTGTCCGCACTGTCTCCACCTGTCCTCATTCTAGACTCAGGTCCATTCCAGGCTCAGAACAGCCACTCTTTACCTCTTCATCATGGGCAGTTAGCGAAAATTATGGAGATTCCTACCTCCTCAGCCCCTGTCTCCCTCATTTGCCACCAGAGAGGAGATGGTGTGGGCTGATTATGTGAAAGTGGGGGGTATGAGTATATGCCAATGTATATCCTTGCACCCTATGTGATTGTCACCTAGGAAACCATCCACAAACACACAACCACATGAAATATCCTACGCAGTATAAATAAGCACCATCATATTGCCACTTCGGAGGCCCTTTTCAGTTAACGGCCGGGGAGCTGGGTCTCCCCATTACTCTGCTTGAACAGCTGATCTGACTGTGAGGTGAATTTGGTGTTTATATACACCACATCGCATAATTCTTTTCAGCTCTATTTCCAGCCCTTGCAGTCGTTGGAATCTTAATTCTGGCCCCATGGAGAGGTGTTCTCTCAGACAAGCATCACAGGCAAATTAGTCAATGAGTCCCATGAGACTCCACATAGGTCCGTCCCCACGGAGACTCGGGGTACCAGGCCAAGCATAGCTGTCCTCTCCTGATGTCTCCAGTCTGAGGCCGACTCCCAGCTGTGCTCCTGGGGACAGCATTCAAGTGAGTTCCACCTCCTATTCTGCCACCCAGGAACGTCTGTGAGCCTGCTTCGTGGGCACTATCCACCTGCAAACGTCGCTCAGCTCGGGAAACCGCTGCAGGGGCTTCCAGGTGGCATAGAAGGAGGGGAACACCTGCCCTCAAGGAGCCCCCATCCCCACTGGGAGCAGAAATGGGTGCCTGTGAGAAAACAGCCATACAAGGCCAAGTATGGTCAGTGCCTGGGGATGACAAGATCTCCCATAAACACACAGAAAAACCACCAACCAGTTATTCATCTAAAACACAGCAGAGTAGCCTTCCGCTCCTCAGGATGCCAGGCCTGTGCTCCCCGTCATTGCCTTTAAGCCTCACCACTAACTACCCTGGGAGGTCCGTGCTGTTGCCCTCGTATGAGGGAGAAAACAGAGGCTCCAGCAGTTTTAGGAATGTGCCAAAGGCCAGAATCTAGTGCATAGTGTTGAGCCCCTTTGGTTCGACCTCTGAAGCCCAGGACGCCCACTCATGGTCCTACCATTGGGGTGGACTTTGCCCATGAGAAGTGGGCTCTCAGGGTGCAGCCTGAGGCCGAACCGAGGGCAGACCCCGGCTGCCACGGCACAGTGACCCCTCGGGTGGCACTGCAGCCCTCAACGTGGGGACCAGGGCTCTCCTGCCCCTGGGCCTGAGGAATTCCCTTCGACCAAATCCTTCTCACTTCCACTAGAACAGTGTGTTCCAAAAAATCAAAATACCGACAACTGTGCTTCCCCTTCAGGACCAGAGACGTGGAAGTGGCCCTGTCTCGTGTTTGGCTTGTTCCCAGAGGATTAGAGCCTGATCCTCTCTCTGTGCTGAGTGGACACCCACTGAGGGATCGGCCCAGGCAGCAGGTGAGGGCACCTTGTCCAGCAGTCATCTGGCAAAGAGGCAGGTGCCAGTGAGACAAGACATCAGTCCCCATGTGGATGTGGGCATGGGCACAAACGGTGACTGTCCAAGAAATCAAGTGGGGAGAAAAGAATGGGGGGAGCAGGTTCAAGAGTGCAGGCTGGGAACCAGGGAATCGAGAAGTAGAGCTGAAAGCCAGAGAGGTGAAGGGTCAAAGGCCTGGGGAATGAAAGGTCAGAGGTTGATGAGGAAGAGTCTGAGCAAGGGAGCCAGGTGCAGGCAGATTTGGTGCCAGCGACAGCGGGCACAGGCCAGGGGTGCAGGTGCAGCAGGCAGCTGGTGCCGGCGGCAGTGGAAAGATTGGATGAGAAGGTGATTTCCACAGTCCACAGGAGCAGACAGTCTGGAGACAGGGCTCCCTTCTCAGCAAAAAGCCCACAGCACCAGGCCAGGCCACTCCAGGCTGGTTCTATACCACGTGTCACTATGCCTGCCAAACAAGCCCACGGCGAAAAAATGAATCCAGGCATCTCCTTTACTTCTTAAAGACCCAAGGCCTGGCTGCACGATGGAAAGCACACCTACCCCCCCCCCCCCCCCCGCGCGCAGCCTCCTGCCCACAACCTGCGTGCATCCTGCACCACACTTCAAAGCACAGTTGCTCTTGTAATTCAGTCCTGTGAGGAGCCTGAGTCCAGCCCCATTTCCTGCGTCTCAGGCTCATTTTCAAGGACAAATGGTGCTCCAAAATGTGCCATCTGCCTGATCTGCAGCTGAAAACAGAAGCCAAGGTTCCCTCCTGGGTGCCAGTCTGGCCCAGGTGTAAACTCTGAGAAGGACCCAATGTGCAGCCACTCCCATCATTAATGCCCAGGACCCTCCCAGAGGAAGACACTCAGTGAAACTGTGAGCCTTTGGACCCACAGGCTCCACCCAAGGTTACATATGAGGCAGGAGCCATACTGGGCTTTTACCCCATTCTTCAGGTGCTTCCAGACATGACTGACAGAGAAATAGTGAAACAGTCTCAATCTCAGGAAATGCCTATGGGGGCTTCTTGTCTTCAGGAGTGCTGAAAGCCAGGAGTCTGTCTCAGAGACCTCTGCCGGCCATGCTGCGGCTGTGTCTTGGCACCTAGGGTGCTGGGGTGGGGCCGGGCACTGCATAGGCCGCAGCTCAGCCCAGGGAGGTGCAGCCCAGAGAGGAGCAGGCCCCTGCCTAGGACTGCCTCAGGTGTGCCTGACCTTGCTCCTGGGAGGAGGGAGGCTGTCCTCAGAGCAGAGGCAGACCTGTGAGTGGAAGCATGGACAGGAAGGGCCACAGGGAAGGGAAAATGAAGGAGCCTCCCTCACATCCTGGAGGGAATAGTATTTGAATGGAAGGTCTCCAGTGGCTAGGGAGTTGTACACTGGGCAGTCTGGGCTGGCCTTTGATGTGCCTGTAGGGACTGTTGGCAGAGAGCCCAGCTGCTTGGTTTCCCAGCGCTGGCCAGCGCTCTGCCTCCCTGCCTGCTTCTGAGCCCCTCCAGGGAAGGGTAGCTTACCGGCCTTACCCAGCTTCAGCAGGGTGTGGCTGCCATGATCTTGGGGTTCCCTACAAGATTTTCTCTGAGATTCTTAAATTGTAGTCTAAAGAAAAGTGTATAAACATTACCTGTGCTCCATTCCACAGTTGCTCCCTCTGTGTAATCATTCCCAGGACCAAGGTGTAAGATATCTCCACAGCAGAAGCTCCCTCTCACCTTTCCCATCAGCCTTCCCCTACAGCCACCACACTCTGACATCCGTGCCAGGACTCCCTCTGCCTGTTTCTGAACTTCCTTTAAAATCACATAGCACATGATTTTTTTGTGTGGCTTCTTCTAAAGTGTGCCTGCGAGTCATCCATGCTTCCATGTGCATCTTTTGTTCCTTTTCACTGCTGGGCAGTATTCCATGGTGTGAACATACCACACTTTATTCATCCATACCACTACAATTGTTGGTGGACATTTGAACTGTTTCTAGTTTGAGGCCAGCATAGTCAAGTTCCCATGGACATTCTTACATATGCCTTTGAGTACCGTGTAATGTCTGGGAGCACAGGTGTTTTACTTCTCCAAGGCATCGTGGTGGTATTCATCTTGAGCAGCAGGTTCTTTCATCTTGAGCAGCAGGATGAAAAAGAACACCCTCCTGGGAACTGATCCAATGCACAGATAGAAACTTACTTGGTTAAAAGAAATTGTGCTTGCAGGTGTACTATAGAAGGGTGTGTGTGTGTGTGTGTGTGTGTGTGTGTGTGTGTGTGTGTATTTACTGTTATTGCTGTGGGAGGATCTTAGAATGTCCCAGTCAGCTTTTCTAAAATAAATTTGAGAGGTCCACAAATTTTAGGGGAGGGAGGAAATGACTAGAGATAAGGCTGGAAAAAGAGATCAGGGTTGTGCTGCAAAGGGCCTTGAATGCCATGCTAAAATAAGTGGACTTCATCCCGCAAGTGACAGGAATCACCAGATGTGTTTAACAAACACAGCGTTAGGTAAGTGTGGCGAACCAACCACGTCACCTGCGAAGCTGAGTGAACCCAGGTTAGTGGGGGGCAGGGGAGTGAAGGGCTCAATTAGAGCAAATAACCTGTGTCCAAGTCCCAGTTCTGCCTTTCATCAGGGATGACTTCAGTAGTCACAGGATGATGTGCATGCTCAGCACATGAAAAGTACATGGACATACACTGACAAATGGCGCACGCACGGGCAAACACTCCTACACATACATGGTGGTGAGCAGGAGTCCAGAAGCCATGCATTCAAGATGCTCCCTCCTCAGCAGCAGCCCGTAACCAACTAGAAACCTGGTGCTTCATAGTAACAGAAAAGAGAGGAAATGAATGGGCCTCCAATTAGCTTCAAATAATCTTTGCTTTAGGGACTTGCAGTTGGATGAACTTGCCCAATAACCCAGAGTCCCAAGAAGACTTTGCAAATAGCCTGGCAACATCTCTCTCAACTCTGTATGATCTCTGGGACTGAGGAGACAGGAGCAATAGCACTTAGGAGAGTCTCAGAAAAATGTGTGCCATGCACGGGTTTCCCATGAGCACTGGGAAAGGTCCACAGGGAAGTCCTCCTTTGTGCCCAGAGCGAGATGCTTCAAGCCAGGCCTGGGACAGACCACTCAAACCTGACCAAAGCAATTCTTATAACACTGACATGGTGAATAAAAACCTAATTGATCTTAGATTATGGTGGAGTAGCCTCTTTCTCTCTTAGAAAAGGGGGTTCCACAGTCATGTTTCACCTGGTCTGGTGAAATAAACAACATGGGGGGGGGGGGCGCGGAGAGGAAGCGAGCCTGAGAGGGCTTGGCCTTACCTCAACGTACAGGAGGGGGAAAATTCCAATCTTGTCTCCCAGCATTCCCTCTGCCCAGTTGTCATCCACTCTTCTGATCACAGTCAGGATTTCATCCTGGAATTGCCAGAGCCCACAAAGTGTACAACCACATGGACATCCAACAACAAAAAAGAAAACAAGAGATCTGTTAGCGCTGTTGAAGCCCAGAAAAGATTCTAAGCAATGATTCAAAGAACGTTTAATATTCATTCTGAGATATGGCCTATGAAAACAGTCACCTCTTACACTTTTATCCAGAACATCTCTCTTTTTTTTACATAGTGATTACAGCTGCAAAGATTCTCAATATTTCCCATTACAATATGCAGGAGCCCCTCTTTATCATTGGTTTTGTTTTCCACAGTTTCAGTAACCTATGGTCAACTGTGGTCTGAAAATATTAAATGGAAAATTCAATTTTTGACTTTTTAAAACATCAGATGCCTATACTTGTTTTTAAGAATTTCTAGCCTGGCTGGCATGGCTTAAGCATCATGGGTTAAGCATCAACCTATGAACCAGGAGATCACAGTTAGATTCCTGGTCAGGGCACATGCTCAGGTTGCTGGCTCCATCCCAGATATGGGGTGTGCAGGAGGCAGTCGATCAATGATTTTTCTCTCATCATTGATGTTTCTATCTCTTACAAAATAGTCATGGGTATATAAAGTACAGCATAAGAAATATAGTCAATAATCAATATTTCACTCATATGTGGGCTAGTAAATGGACTACAAAAACCCCTCATAGATGCAGACAACAGAATTATGGTAACCAAAGGAAAAGGGGGTAGGGCTTTGAAGGATAAAAGAGGCAAAAGGGGTTAAATACAAAGTGACAGAAGGAGACAAGTACATAAGTACACAATAGAATATACAGATGTTGTGCTATTTTGTTATACAGCTAAAATTTATATAATGTTATTAACAAATATTACCCCCAAGAAATTTAATTAAAAAAAAAAGAACTTGAAAGAATCAATGAAAAACTTCTGGTACTAATGAAAATTATAGCAAGGTTTCAGGATAGAAGATTAATATATAAAAGTTAAACACTTTTCTATATACATGTATGCATTGGAGATACTATGGGTTCAGATCCAGACCACTGCAAAAAAGCAAAAAAGCAAGGCAAGTGGAATTTGTCATTAAAATTACAATACTGTTTACATTAGCATCTGAAAATGAAATATTTAGGTATAAATCTAACAAAATAAATACAAATAGATAAATGAGAAAAACTACAAAACTCTGATAAATGAAATCAAAGAAGAACAAAATAGAAAGATTTATATTTTCATGGATTGAAATCTTTAACATTGTCATAATATCAGTTTTTTTCAACTTCTACATTCAGTGCAATCCAAATCAAACTCTTAAGAAGTGATTTTGTGGAAATTAACAAATTAATTATAAAGTTTATATGGAGAGGCAAAAGACCAGAATAGTCAACATAATATTGAAAGAGAAGAACAAGGATGACATTATTTGACTTCAAGACTAAAGCTTCAGTATTAAAGACAGTGTGGTGTTGGTGATAGAAGATAAAAATAGATCTAATAGATCAATAAAACATAACATAGCATCTAGAAATAGACCCACATAAATATAACCAACTGATTTTTGACAAAGAAGCAAGGACAATATAATGGAGAAAAAACAATTTTTTCAACAAATGTTGTTGAAACAATTAGACATCCACAGGCAAAAAAAATAAAAATAAAAAAATAATAATAATCTAGATCAAGACTTTACCAGGTATACCATTCAGAAAAATTAAAGCAAAAAAAATTAAAGCAAAATGGATCACAAACTAAATGTAAAACACAGAACTATAAAACCTTAGAAACCAGTGGAGAAGACCTCAGCCTTGGGTGTGGAGGTGACTTTTGGACACAACGCCAAAAGTCGATCTATGAAAGAAAGAACTGATAAGCTGGACTTCATTAAAATTAAAATTTTCGGCTCTGCAAAAGATACTGTCGAGGAAATAAAAAGACAAGCCACAGACTTACATAAATATTTGCAAAAGACATATCAGATAAAAAACCTGTTATTCAAAATACACAAAGAACTTTGAAAAGTCAATAATAAAAACTACAATCCAACTTCAAAATGGGCTTATGATCCTAACAAGTACCTCACTAAAGACGACATGTAGATGGCAAATAAGCACATGAGAAAAATGCTCTACATCATGTCATCAGGGAAATGCAAATTAAAACAATAAAATATGACTTAGACACCCATTAGAACAGCCAATAGCACCGAATGCTGTTGAGGATGTGTGAGGCCACAGGAGCTCTCAGCCATTACTGGTAGGGACAGAAAATGGTGCAGCAACTTTGGAGGATAGTTTGGTGGTTTCTTGCAACACTAAACATTCTCTGACATTAGTTTTCAACTTTGGGTCCATGCCAAAAAGTGTGATTGCTGAGTAATTATATTCACAAAAAGCCTGCTCATGGTTATTTATATCAGTTTTATTTATAATCACTAAAACTTAGAAGCAATCAAAATTTCCTTCAGCAGGGGAGAAGATAAATAAGATGTGGTAAATTCAGACAATAGACTATTTAGCTCTAAAAAGAAATGAGCTATCAAGCCATAAAAAGATATAATAGAAAGTTAAATGCATATTATTAAGTGAAAGAAGGTGGTCTGAATATGATACATACTACATCTAATATATGACATTGTGGAAAGGCAGAATATTGGAGACAGTAAAATGACCAAAGGTTTCAGGAGCTGGAGAGGGAGGGGAGAATCAGTGGAGCTCAGCAGTGACAGCGCTCTGTATGATACTGTAAAGCTGAGCACATGTTTTTATATATGAACCCACAGGATGCACAACACCAAGTGATGCTGCAAGTAACCCTGGACCCTGGGTGACAGGATGTGTCACTGTAGCTTCATCAGTGTAACACGCACCTCTCTGAAGGGGGTGCTGGTCATAGGAGGCTGTGCATGTGGGGGCAAGGAGGCACATGGGAATCTCTGTACCTTCTGCTCAATCCAGGCATAAATCTAAAACTGCTCTATAAATGAAATCTATTTAAAAACTCAACTAATAATACCGGAAAGTGATGAAAATGGACAACTAAAGACCCTACAACAATATAGGTGTACTCATAAACATAATGTTAACAGAAAACAGAGTTGGACACAAAAATATGTTCTGCATGATTCATTTATTTGAAATTCAAAAATAGACACAAGCCTTCTATGGTGTTAGGAAATATGGGAGAAGAAGAGGGTGGAGGCACTGGGGCACTGGCACCCACATTGCTCTACTGGGTGGTGATTATAAAGATATATTCTTTCTAATCATCAAGGGGTATAATTTTGATTAGTGAACTTGTGAGTATATTATGCTATCTCTCTATATAAAAGCCTAAGTGACTGTCTCAACCAAAACAACTGAATGGATGACTGAACAGGCTGTGTGGGGCTACCAGGCCGGTGGAATGGGGAGGGGGGCAGTTGGGGGTGACCAGGCCAGCAGGGGGAAGGAGGGGCTGTTAGGGGTGATCAGGCAGGCAGGCAAGTAAGCAGTTAGGAGCCAGTGGTCCCAGATTGTGAGAGGAATGTCCGTCTGCCTGTGGGATCAACCTAAACCGTCAGTCAGACGTCCCCCAAGGGATCCTAAATTGGAAAGGGTGCAGGCTGAGGGAATCGCCCCTCACCCCATGCACGAATTTAGTGCACCAGGCCTCTAGTACTTAGATAAAAGGTTTTTTATTGTTGTTTATTTTCTAAAATAAAAGGTGATAGTGTGGAAAAGACATGGCACACCTTGATTACTACATTGGTCCTAACACATCAAGAGGACATCATCACATTCTGAGGAAGACAGCCAATACGTGAACAATCTGAAATTAAGTCACAGAAGCAAGAGAAGTGGCATTGCCGAGCCTAAGAATGACAAGGCTGGGGTGGGGCATGGCTAATGTCTATAAGCTGTGGCATCACTGCCACACGGAAGAGCTGGGCTCATTCTGGGTCACTCAGAGGGTGGAATTAACTCCCCCTTATGTGGAATTGGCACACAAAAGGGGAGCTGTCCAAAACTGAGTATGGTCTTAGGCCAGAGAATTTGTATCATTCCAAGTGCTGGCAGTTCCCACCTGTTCCTCGTTCAGTCAGCAATGCATGAGTGTCCCCTAAATGCCAGGCATGAGGAGGAAACCATCGCTCCCCAATGGCAGCTCAGCACTAGGTGGAAGAGGCCCAATCATAGACACATGGACATCACCCAATATAATGTAACTGTATTAAAATCCCATTATAACACAATAAATGGGGTTCAAAATCCACTCATGTCAAATGTGCTACTGTGAGGTTAGTGAAATGAGCAGGCGGAATCTGCATAGCCCGTCTACCTATCAGATACAAACCCAATGTGGCCTCACCTTTGGTTTGGTGGCACTTGGTGTCAAGTGTCTGATCTACACTAATACTGAAGGGGACATTCTGAGTCCCAGGCTGCTGGAACATCAGGACAGTGGCAGGATCCAGAATGCTCCTCTTTACGTGGCAAACGTTTTTTGAAGATATGGGGCAAGAAGATTACTGGGTGCAAGGAGCCAATCACCCTCTATACACACCAACTAGTAACCTTCTTTGCCTAAGAGTTTTGAGGAAGATTTCCCACAGCTAATCCAAATGTATGCCATGGAGACAGCCTCCAACGAAGACCATCGAGGAGATTCACTGGGCAATGAGGAGATTCACTGTCAGAGCTCCCAGCATGAAGTCAGTGTGTTCCAGAATGAGTAGCCACTTCTCCCACCACCAGTGCAGGACCAGGAAAATGATGAATTGTTTAATAGCTGGGTCACATCAGGTCTCAAAAACTTGGAGCCAGTGCTTTCAGGAGGTCAGGGAAGGGAGATGCCTGCTCTGCAGCTTCTGCTGCCCTTCTCAGACACTGAGTGGACTGTCTGCATGACAATGGCAAGGCCCACTTTGGACTCCATGGGTTCGGAGGCTGCTTCCCGGAGGACGGTGGACCTGCAGCCACAATGCTGTGGGCCTGAGGCAGCCTCAGCACCAAGTCCTGTTGCCAAGAAACAA